CGTCCCGGGGAAAAGCTGCTGCCGCTGCCGCTGCTGCTGCTGCTGCTGCTGCTGTCCGGCTCCCGGGCTCCTGTGGCAGCGCCGCCTGTAGCTGCTCCTGTGCAGGACTGAGGCTCGCAGCGCGCACCGTGGAGCTCCAGCAGTGTGGGATGATGATGTCGCGGGAATAGGAGCGTCAGTCTCTCCTCTTAACGAGAACATCCATGTCTCCCGCCTGAGTCACTGCTGCTCCAACTTGAAGAATCTCATCTGTGATGTTCTTATTCCAGGATGTTTGGCACAGCGCGTCCTCGCAGCTCCGCAGCTTTTCATTTATAGCTCAGGCATCCGAACAATATGCATGAGAACATTTAAAGCCACATGGATTCATCCTCCAACGTGCAGACTCTTCACACCCTCTGTTCTCCAGACTGTGAGGAAAGAGGAGAGTCAGAGTCAGGGTCCAGAAACACACAACATACAAACACGAATCCAGGTCAACATGTAACTGCCCTCTGCTCCTGGATTCTTTAATTAATAAACACTTTGAGCAGAATTCTCATAGATCTGCACAAATCATTGTTTTGAGACAATAACACTAAAGAGGTGGGATGCACATAAATCTTTAAGTACAAAAAACATTAAAAACACACCTGCGTAAATGGGAATGTATGTGATTTTGTCTTTGCACACTCAGCTGGACTCTATACATTCATTTAGTGTGAATCTACACGTTTTTATTCATACAGCAGCTTTACAAGTCAACAATAAAACACTTCTGCATATTATAAAGTAGCCCGCTCCTGCAAGATACACCTGGCTTCACAGGGAAGTCACCATCTGTAAAACTGGATGTTATGATACATCAACTCCATAAAAGAGACTTTACCGACATCAGGAACAGAATGTTCATACACGAGCCTCCCTCCAGGCCGATGTATCGTCCCTGCGACGTCTCCAGATGTGTGATGGATTCACGATGGATCAGGTGCCTCTGGGTCGCCTTCATCTGTTTTACATTAACTGTGAAATGGTTCTTATCGCACCGTTTCACAGCTCTGCCCATGAACCAGTATGGTGCTATTCCTGTGCAACACGCCCGAGATACCTGCGTCATGTGAGAGTTATCAGGGTTCCAGGAGAGGAGAGGAGAGGAGGAGAGGAGAGGGAGAAGAAGAAGGAGTAGGGGAGGAGAGGGAGAAGGAGAGGAATGAGACTGAAGTGCACTTATGAATATATTTTGGAAAGTATCTGTGACACATTACTGCACAATACCATATAATATCTGCCTCATGTTTTATCATTACTGCAAACTTTAGTGTGTGTACATTACTGAACATGTATTATACATAACTTTGTGTGATATTGTGTATTATTGTACTTGTTATTCATACTGATGTATTTATACTGTACACAGATCTGCAAAAAACTCCAAAAGTGGATTTTTGAAAATAGAGTTTCAGGAAATATTTCATGAAACATTTCCTGGCAGAGCATCAAACCCTGGATCTACTTTACATGTTGAACAATGTGGCTTTCACACATATTTGAAACTAAAAAACAAACACTCTGGGTCGAGTTTGAGGAAAAGATGTTTTCTGTTTGGGACTGTGCTGCTGACTACGGGGACGCTATAATAAAATTCATTCAGTGGCGGAGCACACAACCATCACCTTCTCCCCGGGTGCGTACTTCATCAAATAAATAACAGACCTGTGGGTGTTCCTTATGTAACATATCCTACATATACACACAGGCCTGTTTCTGTGGAATTCACTGATTCATTCATGTTCTTCTCTGCTGTTTATTCATTCTTCATCTGAAACCAGTCCAGAAATCAGTGAGCAGACGAAAAAGAAAAAAACGTTTCATGTCACCGAGCCTCCGGGCAACAAATGACGTCTGCTGTAGAAGAAACGTCGGAGAAACTTGAAAACCAGCAGCTGACGTTGGTGCAAGAAGCATTTGTCTCCACTAAGTAAACAACTTTCAAATGTTGTACTTTCATACATAACATTGCAGATTCCTGTGTGCATGCATTTGCAGAATCTTTCATATATTTACAAATCTGATTACGCACGTTGAATTACAGTTACTCAACTCTCCACACACACACACACACATGTTGTTACAATAATGACAGGATTTCCAATTGAGGCTAACTTTGTGAACAAGGATGTAAAAGAACCACGGTTTTGTTTAACGCAGCTCCACATATAAGAAAATGTCCAAATATTTAAATGTGAACAAAAGAATGGAGCGAAATGACAGATTTACTGTGTGAGGCGAGATTAACACTTGTTTGAACGGACGACAGAAACTCATAAATATCTGTCTTCAGTGAATTTTGCTGGAACGTAGTTCTCCACTTGTTCTTAATGTCATTGTTCACTGTCAGTACTTCATCATAATGACCATGTGAAAGCTCTATTCATGCTCTTGATTGTTGAATCAAGGTGAAATCTGTATTCACGTCCTCGTCGTGCGTCACCTCATGAAAAGGAGCCTCGCTGTGAATGCCGTGATGATTGCACCAGTCGGATGATTTGTAGAAATACAAAGTGCTTGATTAATTATTAAATCTGGTCTTTTTTAAAACAGACGCTGATCAGGAACATGCATCGAGGAGGAAGTTTGATTTTCATTCCAACGTTAAAAAGGTCGTGTTTCGTCCTGTGAGCGGAGTCGCTGGCGTTTGGATGCAGCTTCTAACTGAAATGACCCCGGCTCAGGCTAATGGGCCGTCTGGACCCACAGCGAGAGGAAATTTCCACTGGAGCTGTTGTTGTCCTCTGGCTCGCTCTCTAACAGATATGGCACTGATAGAGTGGCCGAGCGTTTATGCCTGTTATACCCTGCTGTTGACAGTCGGGAATAGGAGCTGACTGCTGGCAGGAATGTAGGCCCGGGATGGAGAGCGGAAAAGTACTGGGGGGGAGCCAAAACCCGATGCCCCCTGCACCCCACCCCCGACCAGTAAAGCACTCTCCACCAGACGTGTCTCCGGGGTCGGTTTATACAACAGGACGTTACTACCCGTCAAAGATTCTTCAGTAATGGATGTGTTGCAAGTTTCTGCTCTTTTATGAGCAACTGATAAACAACCATAACGTCCATGATTGAATGACTGAAAGTCAAAGTTCTGCAGTGACAGGCAGTGACATTGATATTCAGGAATTAACTGATCTGTCGTTTTCCCTGCAACAACAAAACTCAGGTTATCTGCTGATCCTGAGGATGCATCCGAAACCTCATCACCCTCTTTGTCCCACGTTAAAAAAAATCTAAGCATCACACTGCTGAAAGAAAAAAAGATGGATTCTTTACATCGGCCTGGGAGGATGCAGTGCAGGAGGCCTACGAGCACAAGAAGCTGAGGAAGCAAAGAGATCATTTGGTTTTTGAGTAAAAACAGAAAAGAACAGTGAGTTTATCACACAGACGAAAATAAGAAGTGCTCTGTGTGGCAGAGATAAGAAGGAGTGAGAGGGGGAGGACGTGGTGTGTAAAGGTGAGTGAGTGTTTTGTTTTGGACGACAAGTGTCCGTGGTGTGAAAGACGTGCAGAGGTGGGTTGTGGGTATAGCGTTCTGCTGACTAAAGCCTTCTGTGCTCTGTAGCTGGAGATCCGTCAGTCGACCGGTGCGATCCCTCTTCTCTCTTTCAAAGGACACGTCCGCCTGCAGGACGACATGTTGGGCTGTGCCCGGCAGATTCAGACGTGTTGCGTGACAAGTGTCTGTTACAGAAAACAATGCAAAAACACCTGGTTTGTATAAACGTCAGGTGGACGGCTCACATCCCAAATGTTCTGTGTGAATGAGCCCGGAGCGACTTCAGAGGAAATCCTGTTAGAGCATAAATGATGTAGCACAACAAACACAAGCAGCTATGACTAATCCGTGTTTTGTTATTGTCTGGCAGGGATCAGCTGATTATCTCAAATGAGTCAGGATATTTAGTTGTTTTACTTTATATTGATATTTTATTTTGTGACATTTCACTGTATTATCACCGGTGGGGTTTCGCAGCTACAGAATGTGTAAAAAAAACACCTGCTTGTTTTGATGGTGAGGCACGACGGGCCGGCTGCACAAAGGCATTCCCTACTGTACTGACACAGCTTATGTAATGGGAGATTTGACCAGGACACCCTGTTCCCTGACGGAGGCATTTCTATTGAAAACCATTGGTGGCAAACTTCCTGTGGAATCATTCACACAGGGTGAACCTCTGTCCCTCGGGGGAGGAGGAAGTAAACAACTCCACCGTTATCGTTGGATGGAAATACATTTCTAAGCAGCTTTAAAGTTCAGTAGCTAATTTTGTAACGACACATGACGAAGGATGAACACTCAGTTGACTGTACTTTCCTTCCATGGTCACTTGTTATTATCTCAATTATTCTTAAAACTTTAATTCATTAATTCATGAACATGTTTTGAATCTGAGTCACGCCAGGTAGATTTTCATCGGTAATGGTGATGAGAGCCCCCTAGTGGCAGAAATGACATGTCATACATTTAATCATTTGACAGTATGAATAAACAGCCCAGGTAAATCTTAATATTATGTCATAATGAGGTCATTTATTCCACATGAGGCCTAATAGTTGGTTGATCTAAATAGTTGATGCATGTCTTCGCTGTGTAACGTCATTTTCTAACTTCATAGTGACGTCATTCCGACCTTTTCATTTCCTCAGTGAGAATCTGTCGATAAGATGAAATCGAAATGAAACAGAAAATAAAAATAATCAATAATAAATAAAATATGTCTTTCACTACGGATATAAATATTATTTGTGGAGAAAACTACAGGTTGATTGCACGAGGATGTATTTGTACACGTGTATGAAATATCTAAATAGATATGTACATTATATACACTTTAATAAGTATATCTGCAGGTGTACAAAATGAATTGTATTTTAAAACTGTGAATTCAACACTTTGTAACTTTGTGTGAGTTTTATTATGTTATGATTGTATTTATATATTAAAGTAGAACTGTGTTCAACAGTTAAACATTAGTGGTGGTTGTTTAATAGGTGATCGATAATCGCATCATCACACAAACAAACTCAGCAGCTTCCTGATTGGATGTGACCTTCACAGAGACGTTACTTAACCCCGCCCCCGGGCGATTCCTATTGGCCAGCTGCGAACGTAAATAAACCCGCCCCGGCCTCTGATTGGCCGGAGCGCGCTGCGTCCCCGCGGTCCCTCCGTGCTGGCGGCGGAGGCGCGTGCACGTCTCCGGTCAGCTGGAGCAGTCGGTCTGTGGAACCGGGACGAGCGTGAACGAGTCACATCCTCTTCTTCTTCTTCGTCATCGTCGTCATCTTCATCGTCGTCGTCGTCGTCGGCCGCGATGAAGCTGGTGAGGTTCATCATGAAGAACGCGGCTCTGGCCAGTGTCCCCAGACACATCGAGCATTTCTCCAAGTTCTCCCCCTCCCCGCTCTCCATGAAGCAGTTCCTCGACTTCGGTGAGTATCGATCCGCTCCCGTGACGATCATCGCTGATTGGTGACGTAATAATAATAATGCTGCCGCAGCAGCTGCAGCTGCAGCTCGAACCTGAGCAGAGATTCCCCCCAAAATGCACGCGTGCTGCAGCGGCTGCGTGGTGTTCACGCAGCGGAGAGTTGCGTCAGCTCAGCGGCCCCGCGAGACACTGAGCTGCACTGCTGCCTCAAGACATGCATCACAACAGTGTTCGCTGCAGCTCTCACGTCAGGTCCCGCGCGCATCCTGCAGAGGAATTCATGACGAGTCAGGCTGCGTGAGCTGGGACATGATCACAACATGACAGTTTACATCATGGAAGTGAAGTGAGGGTCATTATTTGGGCTGCAGCCATCTGTAATATGTTTTGTTTTTTTCTGAAAATGAAATTGAATTAAAAGTTTTGATCAATGGTGAAAACGTCCATCAGTTTTCAGCTGATGTCTTCAAATCGCTTGTTTGGTATAAAAGTCAGACCACATCGATGCTAATACAAGAGTTTGTCCCAATCTTCATACTGACGTGTGCTATTTTCAGTTCACGTGTTCCACTATAAGCTCCGGATGGCGAATTCGAAACGTCTGCCACCTTCATCTGTCGCCATCTTGGCTAGGCAGCGGAGGCAGGGGCCACCAGTGACTTGACTTGTGAGAATCCTCGGACACATCTCCCGGGGCCGAGGGCAGTTTCGTGAAATAGGTGGAAACAAACAAACATTTTTAAGTGTAGCCGGCAGCAGATTTTTTGGTTGAGCGACAATCTGTGCGTGCAGAACAGCCGCAGTTTGATTTGGGGGCAACCCTTCCCTGTCAGAGGTCACGCACCACGCCACCGACTGTCCTACATGTGAATGAGCTCACTGATAAATCCCTTTTAGACACAGCAGGAGAGATTCAGTCTGAAAAACTCCAGGGCTGCGGTTTCGTTTTTTTTGGGGGGGGGAAAATTCCCACGCTCACTTCCTGATTGGGTCACAGGGCCCCATCATGGAGCCGCGCTGCGATTGTGCCTCCCCACAGGAAGTGAACGGTTCATTCGGCCCCTGGTTTTGCGCCGATCGGAATCGAACGGTTCGCCACTGATGCATTGGAATATGGCACAAACGTGCTCAGTGTGTGTAAACAGTCATGTGATGACCAGAGGCGCTGGAGGAGATCAGTGTCGGTTAATGAAAGCGTGGACGGAGGCTCAGGGTCCTGCAGAGGAACAGGGCTCATCGTTGTCATTGATCACTTAACTCTGATTAGCTCCACGTTAACAAAAACTCCTCTTCACAGTTTCCCACAACACAAACAGCTGCACTCTCCTCTGCCAGTCAGCTTATCAATGAATACTGATCAGTACTTTGTGTGTGTGTGTGTCGCCTCAGGTTCAATCAACGCCTGTGAGAAGACGTCCTTTGTCTTCCTGAGACAGGAGCTTCCTGTGAGACTCTCCAACATCATGAAGGAAATCAACCTCTTGCCTGACAAGCTTCTCACAACGGCGTCCGTGCAGATGGTGCAGAGCTGGTGAGTCGTGCCAGGAAAATGGATTCACGTGTTTAAGTGACCTGACTTTTAGATTTAGAAATCAAAACTCTGTGACGATCCATGAAAAGCGTACGAGGGTGTAGATTTCCTCCCCTGTACGCTGCGGAGTCAACAGCTGCTGTCTTGTTTATCACCGTGGAGTGAGGCCGTTTTATTTTCCCACTGTGTCAACATCATGCTCTGAATTACAACAGCAGCCTCTGACCGAGTTGGACGACTCCTCACCGGCCCTGTGTGGGCCTGGTGTGTGTGTCTGTGTGTGTGTGTGTGTGTGAGTGTGGGGGAGGGTCTCTTAGTTGTGAACTTTAGCCCAGTTTCTCGTCACACGTCACGTGATGTTGTTTTCAACCGTTGGCTGCTTCACTTTCCTCTGTGAAAAAACTCAGCCTCACAAAAAACGTTTTAAAATAAATTCCAGTTCTGTCTGTCTCACATTTACAAGGAACGTTAAAGTGTGTGTGTTTGTGTGTGTGTGTGTGTGTGTGTGTGTGTGTTGATGATTTGTCAGGTACATCCAGAGCTTAATGGAGATCCTTGAATTCCTTGACAAGAATCCCGACGACCACAAAGTCCTGGGAGAGTAAGTTTCTCATATTTCTCTTTCCGACCTGCTGATCTGTGATTAGTTTTCATGTCTTAAAGACACAACAACTCGAGCTGATGTTCCAAATGGTTTAAGCTGTGAGCTCATATCACATTTTTAGAAGATGTAAGTGAGTATTTTTTTACCTTCACCACGTAGGTTTGCAGGATTACGCGAAAACTACGAAACAGATTTCCACGAAACTCACTGGAAGGATGAAGAATAAAACAATTATTACATTTTGGGGAGAAATCCAGGAATTTGATATCTCGTTCTGTAACGTTTTTGAGACGGGGCGTTTTTTGGAAATATACGTTTTCATATATTTATCAGGGACTCAGCATATTTAAGGGACTTGGATCCCTTTGATTGTGAGAGAATTAGACTCATGACACCTGGATGTCTTCACGTTCATCCTCCCCAGGTTTGTCGAAGCCTTGGTTACCATCAGAAACAGGCACAACGACGTCGTGCCAACCATGGCCCAGGGCATCATCGAATACAAAGAGGCCTTCTCCCAGGACCCAGTGACCAATCAGAACATCCAGTACTTCCTGGACCGCTTCTACATGAGCCGCATCTCCATTCGCATGCTCATCAACCAGCACAGTGAGTCATTCACTTCACGGTTCATTCAACAGTCACGATACCGTCCCTTTGTTATTGTTTCTTCTTCTACTTTACTTTAGCAGTATCTGTTCTGACCTCGAACAGTACATTAATGACTTTATTCTTTTTTTCTCTGCAGCTCTTATCTTTGACGGCACCACCAACCCTGTCCACCCCAACACCATTGGCAGCATTGATCCTCTCTGTCGAGTCGGAGACGTCGTCCAGGGTAAATATGAATTATGTTTGGAGCTAGCAGCTTATATTTTAACAGCTGTATACTACTAATGATATATTACACTTATACAGATGCCATAGAACTTATTTTAATATCTTTGATTGTCGTAACTCAAAAACGACACCGATATATAAATCTAGGATTAAACAAGAATTACTCTTTTTCATAAGCTGTTGAAATGATTTCTGGGAAAATAATATTTGCAGTTTTACCTGGTTCTCTAGTTTTATGTATACTTAAAACGTAGTATTGACTCAGTACACAGATTTGTGTACTTACCGATGCCCGCCCCAGAATTTCCAACAGGCCTTTCTGACCGAATGGATCCACTTAAAACGAAAGTGTTTTCAGCCTTCCCCTCGGAAATTGTGTGTTAACAAATATTATTTCTGATCTCGCCGCTTTTCATCAGACGCCTTCAACAGTGCCAAGATGGTGTGTGACCAGTACTATCTCTGCTCCCCCGATCTGATACTGCAGGAGATGAACAGTAAGAGTGAACACTAACTCAGCTTTAACCTAAATGCAAATATTCCGTGTTGCAAAAGTCCACTGGTGAGATTTTTATATGAAGGAGTGACGGCCTCTGTGTGCACATGCAGAGTGATTGTAAGTAAATCAGCCAGATGGACCTGATGGGCCTCTAATTATAGCACTGAAGCTGAAGTAATGGTTTAGTGGGCCCGGCTGACTGCACCAGACAATGTTGACACACGGGCCCTCTCCATCCTCACAAAGCAGAATAATGACCACCGACTGAAAAACCTTGAGGATAATGAATTTTAAATGAAGTGGATGAAATTAAGGAACGCTGCTTTGTTTTGTCCCCCCGTCTCTGCAGATAAGAAGAAGAACCACTCGATAAACATCGTGTACGTGCCCTCTCACCTCTATCACATGCTCTTCGAGCTCTTTAAGGTACAATATTAAACTCAAGTTCATCACAAATCATCTCAAACGCTGCTTCAGAATGAGACTGATCACGCGATACGTCCGTTTTCCTGCAGAACGCAATGAGAGCCACCATCGAGACCCATGAGAGCAGCAACAACCTCCCACCCATTCAAGTCATGGTGTCTCTGGGAGGCGAGGACATGTCAATCAAGGTGGGTGGTGAATTCCAACACAGCTGCTGGAAGTGGATGAGCAGCGTTGCAGCTATTTCTGGTGCGTTAGGATTTTCGCAGGCCTCGAAAAAACATCACAAATATCCCTCGATGGAACCGAGCGGCAAACGACACCCTCCATCTTTAGAGCCTGAATTTGACAACCGAACAACAGCAGAGCAACAAACAGCAGGGGCCTGTTTTTACAGCTATTGTGTGTGTGTGTTTGTTTCCTCCCATAATGTTCACACGCTAAAAACAGATTTAAAATGTCTATGGGAGTGAGAGGGAAGGTGTGGGTGTGTTTTTATGATGGTACGTTGAGTCAAATGACGCCTGTAAAGATAACACGCTTTCACCGAGTTAATATTTCACCGTGGCGTCGCCGTGTGTCAGATCCGTTAAGTTTTAATGGTGTGTCTTTGTTTATAAGGCGCCGCCTGTCACTGCCACCCAAATCTCTAAACCTGTTATGCAACGACTTCACCCTCAATTAGGCACCGTGCCGCACGGTGAGCAAATCTACTCAGCTCTGATAAGATTAGCTGCATGAGCCGTGTACCTTCATATTCACAGAGCCTCGGTCATAATGCTCATGTGTTACGGAGACGTATTTTCTGGGTCTTTTTCGAGTTCGGGGACAAAGTTTCAGGACCCGTGAAGAACTGTAGTGTAGGGAAACGATGTGGCAGGGGAGCAGACAAAAAGGGAAAATTCAGGAGTGGTAACAAGAACAAGATCTGCAGCCACGAGGTAACGTGACACTTTGGCAAGGACGCAGTAATCCAACCGGTCCTCACAAACTGAGCTCAGGTGGTCACGCCCACACAGCAGCACATATTACACAGAGGACACATAGAGGCCCAGAACCAAGGACCGTCCAAACCCAAAAACATCCTGATGATATGTCGCTGATATGCCTCTCACACCTTCACTTTGACAACATAAAGTAAAAAGACAATCCAGATGATCCCTGTCTCTGTCCAACCCCTCTGTCTCTGTCTCTGCCTGTAGGTGAGTGACAAGGGTGGTGGTGTCCCATTTCGTAGGATCGAGAACCTTTTCAGCTACATGTACTCCACCGCTCCCACTCCACAGATAGGAGAGCACACGAGGCCTCCACTGGTGAGTACAGACGCAAGGAACAAACAAACAAAGCAAACTTGACTAAAGACCTGTGAGTTCCACGGAGAAGCTCTTAAGTGTGTCAGACATCGAAACCCTCTTAAACCCTTGATCCGCTCGCTGTGTTGCAGGCTGGCTTCGGTTACGGCCTGCCCATCTCTCGACTCTATGCCAAGTACTTCCAGGGGGACCTGCAGCTCTACTCCATGGAGGGCCACGGCACAGACGCTGTCATCTACCTGAAGGTGAGCCAGACACGGAGCTGAGACAGGACGCCAGGAGTCTGAAACTCTGCAGCACATAACCAGGAGAGGAAATCCACCTGAAATGTTAAATATTTACCAGACTCTGCAGACCTGCGCAGCCAGTTCATGATGTCTCTGTGGCAGTTGTGGCCAGAGGCTTGTTTTCAGATTGTCTGTCTGTGAACGCCATGTCTCTGGTACGCTTCGAGGGATTTAAAGGTCAAAGGTCACTGTGACTTTGCTAGTATCCAAAAAATAAATACAAATTTGCCTCGTTGAAGAAAATAAATAACAAGGATTCAGGATACGCACATTTATCCGAATCTATAAAATTGAATGTGTTCTTCTTCGTGTCCCACCATCCGTAGTTTTATAGTTATCATACAAACAAAACACAAAGCAATTAAAGCACGAGAATGGCACTAATTAGAGTGCAAACCCCTTAAATCCAATTGAGCCAATCAAGATCCAGGAGTTCAGTGAAAATGTCAAAAATGTTCTATATCAGATAAAATCCTGGAACCCCACCCCCCCCCCTTTAATACCTTTTTACTAAATGATTCTGATTCTCGTTCTTCTCCTCCCTCCAGGCGCTGTCCACAGACTCCATCGAGAGGCTGCCGGTGTACAACAAGACCGCTCTGAAGAACTACAAAGTGAGCCAGGAGGCAGACGACTGGTGCATCCCCAGCAAAGAGCCCCTGGATCTGAGCAACTATAAGGTGGCCAAGTGAAAGCGTCCCGGTGCTTCAAGCCTCCAGAGTCTCCACGGTCTCGTGTCATCGCTCTGCCGAGGCAGACGAGGGCGCTCTGGTGTTAGCCTGTAGCTCGTTCGCGTTGTTTTCAGTTTTTGTCGTTCTGCTGCTTCTTCATAAGAAAATAGACAAATAGGAAACAGGTACTAACACTTGTCACCACTGAGACGTTTGGAGATGCAGCTCCGATGTTGCTAAAATACACTTAGCATCAGCAGTGTGTATGTGTGTGTGTATGTGTGAGACAGAGGCAGCACCCAGCATGCAATGGGAGTTTAAAAAAAAAAGGTGTGAATATGAGTGGACTGGTGAAGAGTAGCAGATGCTGGTATAAGTTTTCCCTTTTAAGACATTTGACATGTTCTGACGTGTAAATGTTTGAGGGGAAAAAACAGCGGAGTTAATGAAACCTGTTGTTGAACATTTGAACGAGAACCACATCCTGTCGTCTTCACGTCACCGAGGCCTTAAAGTAGCAACTTCACCCAAAGGCTCCTTCGTAGAATCTACGTGAACCATTAAAAACGAATCACTCTCGTTGCACGTTGGTAAGTTTTCAGAACTGGTGAGTGTAGGTCTGAACAAGTGTTCCCTCTTTAGTCAAGAGCCTTTTCATTCAGTTTGAGAGAAGTTCGCTCTCACTCGAAACCCTGCGCTCACGCTCAGTTATCCTCTGCTTGAGCTTAGATGTCCCGTGCACCAGCTTCAGCTTTACTCCTCGCTGCCTCATTGAAACATCTGGAGATTCCTCCACCAATGGAAATACCAGGTGTAGTGATAATGAAATTGCCCAAGCAAAATAGAGCGCAAGCGTTAAAAAATCTAAACTGTGATATCAATAAGTCCTACTCCGGAACTGAAAGTCCGCGCTCTAGAGTAAAGAGAGGACAAAAAAAAACCCACCATAGATTTCTGTGTGGACGATTGTTCGACTTGTTTCTCATTTCTTTAAAAACATGGTGTTCACACTGAGAGATAAGATACAGAGTTATCTTAGTATCCTTAGTTTTTTCTGGACCAGGATGAATGTAATCAGTCTTCGGTGCATTAATTAGCATTAATTACTAAATAATAGGAGCTGCAGCGGCGAAGGGCCCAAGTGCTCTTTGCTTTTTGGCTGATTTCTCTGCAGGCTGTTGAACCACAGGAGGTTTGAGCTCGCTCTGCGCTCTGATAAGGAAAGGCCAGTCTCGGACGGTTTGCAACACTGTGCCATATGAGGACAAGGTGCTGTGGGTCCACGTGTGTTTTCTTTTGTATTATATTTATCTTAGTCATTCAGTATGTGAAAGGTTATTTTTATAGCTACACTTTTGTGACTGAAACAATTGTAAATACTGTAAATACAATTAAATAATTAAAAACAAAATTCTTCTTGCATTGTGTGACCTACATGGGAAAGGGATACAAGGGACCTGAGGGGGGCGCTACATCCAACCAGACTTGACATGACCCAAACCCACATGACTAATCTTTTGTTTTAGTGTCCGAATGATTAAATCACAGACTGTAAATACAAATTAACGACGTGTTTCCACTTTCACCACGTTTTTATAGCATCAGATAACAAAGTGAAACCAAACTCATCAGAAACTTGAACAAACATCAGTGTGATAGCAACTAAGTGAAACCACAGTTATCCGTCTTTGAGAGAAATGTCCTTCATCTCATTTTCACAGGCTTCGTTTCTGGATAATTGGAGGAAGTGGAGACTCGTTCTATTGTTAGTCGAGTTACATTAAAGATGACATGGTTGAGTTCCACCAGTTTAAATGTTGCGTCCATCATCAACGCGGCTGAAAGTAGAACAGGACGTGCTACATCGCTAAACCATGTGATTTCCTCTGCACCTGTATGACTTGGAGGATAAAGTCCTCACATTAATGTTTCTCTTCACACTTCAGCCGTGGACATTGCGAAGTAACTGCACAAATTAAAGTCAACGGTTTCACCGCTGACCATACAAACTGAAAAACTGCCAACAGCTCGTAAATGTAACGTCTCTGTCAGCAAGTCGTCTGAGAAAAGTCACACTCCGACTGAGCGAGAACGATGGCGTTAAACTGAAGTTTGTAGTTTCCCCTTTGTTTGTGCATCACTGTGTCGGCTACATAAGGTCACGGTCAGACTGCGGCACGGTTTCTGATGGTGCCGACATGAAGAGGTAAGAGTGAGTTAGACATTTCTATCTGCTGATCTGTTTGGGAAAGATATTTGAGATTTGTTTTTCTTTCAGTTCACACATGTTTTGCTGAACTTCTTATCACACACGGGTCAAACCAACGAGCTGGTGATTACATAGAAATAAAGGTACTTTTCCTTCTGTTTTATCATCTCAGCACCACGTGAATTACTGTTATTGACTGGATTTATCTGTTAAATTTAGCTTTTTTACAATATTATTCTCATCGAAATATATGTATTCATTTTTAATAATATCTGGACATTTTATAAAAACACAAAATCATAAAATTATTAATTAGATTTGTTGAAAAAAAAAATGTAAAAATGCTTTTTGTTGTATCATAGAAGTAATATTTTACATTATTCTACAAACACAGTTGAGTTAATTATCCAGGTGAATTAATTCAAACCTGTTGATTTATTATTCAGTATTCTTGTTAAAATAAAATAACATGGACCTAAATGTAATGTTTCTTAAAAAAGACAAACACATAAACACAGAGATGTCATGTGAATAAAAAAGCGTGTAAGTGTCATCTCACATTGTGTAACTGTCCTTGTCCCCAGATGGTTGTGTTTGCCGTGGCTGTGTTTGTAACCTTGTCGTCTTGTGCAGTCGGCTGCTCGGGGAACATGAATTCTGTGAGTGTGAGCTTTGTTCACTGACGCTGCAGATGCAACATAACAATTCATCCATTATGCAACAAAAAACTCCCAGAGGTTGTTTTCTGCAGACAGAACTGTGCTGAGCTTCAGAAAGAGAATAGAACATTACATCGCATTAACACCAATCAGCTCAACTTTTTCTGTGACACTTTTTATTCCTCTATATTTTTTGTTTTGTTTCCAGACTGAGCTGAAGCTTCGGAGCGTGAAAAATCAACCTGCTGCTTTTTTCAAGGTGAAATGATCCACTGCACTGAACTGATTGATTTCTGGACAAAGCAAAGACATTTGAAGGCAGCGTCTGATGGACGTTATTCATTGTTTTGGTTTTTTAAATTTTTTAAATTTATAGGAAAGGTACAAAACAATTATGTTGAACTTAGTTTCAAACTCTTCTCTGGACTGACTGGGTTCAAATTATGATGGAGAACACAACATTTTTATTAAAGTAGATTTTAATCCTAAAACTGTCAAATTTCAAGATATTTATACTAAGATGTAACAGAATTAACCATTAAATCTCTTTTATGCAGTTGCCTCTGTTATGGACACGAGTTGAAACATCTGAATCACTTCTGATCAACCTAAATTACTATTAATTCATGTTTTTAACAAGTGAATCTGTGGTTAAACGACTGTTTCCTGCAGGACATGACGCGTCCACAGTGTGAACAAACCACACTTCAGCAGCAGGACGCTCTGACTCAGGTGATCAATCTATAATCTATAATCTATAACCTTCCCTCCACATGTATCTGTTCTGTGCATCAGCTCCTGAGTGTCTTTATTTTCCATCACAGGTGAACATGGAGAGCCTGAAGCAGAAGAGAGACGCCGGTCAGTCAATAAAATAACAACATTCCTGAAGTAAAATATTAAATATTCATTTCTTTTTTAAAATCTCTCAATAAAAATCAAATGTGCAGGAACAAACCTTTTTTATTATGGCACATCTGCTGAGGAGGAATACGAGCAGCCTTTCTCTGAGGAAGACACCAGGAGACGGAGCGACCCCTGCTTCCACTACACCGTCCTGGACCAGGCCTGGCGCGCCACCAACACCTCCACCAAGTTGACGATGTGTGACCGCCGATACAAATGGAAAGGTAACTAGATTTCCTGTGTGAAAACATTTTCTTCATCAATGAAAACATTGATTCTGATCATTTTGTTTTCAATCACAGGCTGGTACCGCCTCTTCTTCAAGGGTAAGAGTATCCAGATGCCCGAGAGGTGCGTCCCTGTGAACAAATGCAGCACCCACGCCCCGCTGTGGCTGGCAGGGCGTCACCCGAGGATAAGGGATGGCATCGTCACCCGCCAGGTCTGCGGCCACTGGAAGAAGAAATGCTGTGCTTTCCGATCCACCCCCATCAAGGTCAAGAAGTGTCGCGGCAACTACTACGTCTACCAGTTCACCAAGCCGAGCTCCTGTGATCTGGCTTACTGTGCAGGTACCTGTCATCGGCACGTTTGTGGAAGAAAATCAGATTATTAAGTCGCCCTGCCAACTGGGGCCTCCGAGCGATGGGAACTAAATTTAGGAATGAGGTAACATCGACCTCAGACACTTTTACCTCATGCAGACGTTCTAATACAAATGTAAACTATGACGATAAATGACAGTTATCAACATTTTATATTCAGATACATCTAAATATCCTTCATTATTTACATTAAACACTGAAGAAGGTATCCAGATGTCGGGTTTTCTTAAGACCAGGTGGTGTGGGTTCACGTCTGCGTGTGAGTGAATTTAAACTGAAGACTCCAACCAACCCAAACTTCTCAGAGCTCACTCAAAATACCACAAACAATTCATCCACACGGATAAAAGACACCACTCAGTACTGACAAATGTTAAAACTGCAAACAAATGTTTAAAATACAAAAGAAAACAACCACAATACAAATATGTCATATTAGAAGATGCCTTCACTAGGATGGACCAGGTTACAGTGCGTTCATCAAGGTAAGCTGACCATGTCTTGTTCTGTTACTCGTCTCCAGCCTCTGGATTAAACCCAAACTTTGTTACAGACAATCTCACTGATAATCTTAGATCCCTGAATTAAATGATAATAATATATTCATAGATGTGACTGAACAAATCTGAACCCTTCGATCTTAAAGCTTCTTTCACAGTTTGTCCTTTTGCAGTTTTGTTCCCCGCCACAGTTTGTTTCTGACGTGTGAACGACGTTGTGCGTCTGTTCTCAGATATCAACACGCTGGTGTGTGGCCGGTGCAGACGAAACCAGTCCTGTGTGAGCCGAGATAAGATTAACTGGAGGTGTAAGACAAGGAAAGGTGAGTTATGGTCGGTTTTTAAGGCCTTTTAATCAAACCACAACGTCTGAACTAACATTTCAGAAATGCAAAAGAATTTCAAAGGAAGCTCCCAAACTAGAATGTCGCTCGTGGTTTGAATAGGTAATGTGCCTTAAATTCATTCAAGCTGCATCACACTTCACACACTCATAGACATCAGTCCCTTTAACACGCCTGGTTTGTTTCATTAAGATTCAATAATTATTCTCCTTCTCACAATGTTATATAAAGCAAACCGATCTTTTTCTGTAAAATCCTCATGACCTCCAGGAAACCTCTCCTTGTTTCAGTGCCTTCCAGAAAGGTCCACTTCTTCGCGTCCTACCCCGGCCAACTCACCGGCAAGGTGAACAGAATCAAGTACAGCAAGGTGTTGGTGAACGTGGGCCGGGCCTACAGCAGGAGTACCGGAACATTCAGGGCTCCGGTCAAAGGAATCTACCAGTTCTTCTTCTCCACTCAAACCGCCAACACCAACAAGAAGACGGACCTGTGGCTCGTGGTCAACAGTTACTGGGTTGCTGTGTCTCACACAGCTTTCTCCCGGCCCTCCAGCGTCGGCAGCTTGTCCACCTACATGACCTTCCTCCGCAAGGGGTCTCGTGTGTACGTCACACACAACTGTGGGAAGTCGTGGGCCAACGCTGCCTCCATGACCATCACATTCGGAGGCTCACTGCTTGTACAGATGAAATAATGTGTTGACAGGGTTTCAAATCGTTTGCTCTTCTGATGTTTCCTTGTGTATGAAGCTGAATGGGATTTGTATTTGGGTAAATATACAGAAAGTGTATAATGACAAAGGTTATTCATCAGGTCAGTTTCTTTTTCTCTTATATTAACTTTATTTTGAGCTTTTTTTGTGTCAGAGCTAAATCCTGAGGTTAACATGTGTTTAATTTAATGCTTGAATATACATTTTGAATAAAATAAAACATAATAAAAGTCTCTTGTTCATATCTTTTTAAATAATATTAGGTCATATCTGTCTATCTATCTATCTATCTATCTATCTATCTATCTATCTATCTATCTATCTATCTATCTATCTATCTATCTATCTATCTATCTATCTATTTCTCTTTCACTATCTCTCTATCTTTCTATCATCTATCTATCGTCGAATGCAGAAAAGGCATTGCCCTGTGTTGTACACTAGGTGGTGCTCTAACACTAGTGTAACCCTGCTGGTGTGTTGTTGGTGATCAGGAGTTTAAAAACTAGATGTTCGCTCACATCAACACTCATAGGAACAGAATCAAGTCAGATTTCATAACATCTGTAACATCTGGAATTTTTATTCGTCACTTGATTTGATCCTTTTATGGTCACAGATGACATCAGGGGAGTTCTCCTGGTTTGTCCTGGTTTTTCCTGTGACTGATTGAAAACTTGTGAAAGTGAATCAGAGGCTGATCAAAGGGAATCAAAGGCTGATCAAAGGGTTCTGCTCAGATACAGATGTTTGACTGACACGCTGGGTTCGTTTGATTGTTTGAGAGACACCTCTGCACGGAGCCGGGGGGGGGGGGGGGGGGCGGGCACTCCATCGGGAGGCCGCCCTCCTATTGGCTGAGTCGACAGGAGACCAAACTCCAGGAAAACGCAGCTGAGGGCGCACGATGGAGCGGGACGCGTTTCTGGCGTGAAGACGGAACTGTGCGTGGACATGGGATGTTCTCCTGCGTCTGGAAGAAAACGTGAACTTCTAACAGGAGAAAACTTTGTAGCCACATGTTTGTTTTTACAACCGATTGAATCAAACACGAGTGAAATGATAGTTTGACTTTTACGCACGGATGGAAACGCGCACGGCGGAGCTCGCTGCTCGGTGAAGCCGCCAAGGATCCTCGATAGTGTCGGCACTTCAGAGCAAACGGTGAACTACCTTTTGATCTCTCTTCGGTTTTCCCGCGAGCGCCAGTGAGAGTCCCCGGTAGAAACATGGCAGAGCACGAGAGCCTGGAGTTCGGGAAAGCGGATTTTGTGCTGCTGGACAACGTGTCTCTGGAGGAGTTCATGGCCAACCTCAAACTCAGGTGAGTCCCGCAGGTGAAGTTAAAGCTCAGAGACAGAAGCAGCTCCGAGGAAACATGGAGCGACCTCACAGCATCATGTTCAGCCCGGAAATGTGCTTCGAAAAGCGGCCTGGCTGTCAACAGGTGCCTCGAGCTGAGAACCAGAGAACCAGAGAGCAGCCTCTTCAAGTGTCCATGAAGTGTGGAAGATTATTCAGAGTGAATGAAGGCAGCTAACAGTATCTACAACCCTGTTCATTAATGTGCTAATACAACACAGGTCCTGTATGATGTTTCTACATTGTGCAGCCTCAGTGAGGAGATACTGATTCACCTTCAATAGTTTTTCTCTTTGTTTATCGTGGAGATTAAAAACTCAACTACCATCTACATACAAGAAACAATAACGAGACATTTCCGACTGATACAAAATGTTTAAAGTGATATAGATCTTGGCCAAGTGTCCCAGCACTTCAGATATAAGACAATTAAAGGAGGACATTTGTTTTCCATTTTAGAAAAAAAGGTTCTCAAAGAGGTCAAATATTTAAACATTCTTAGAAATACATCAGAATAAAAAAGGAAGAGTGTGAGAACTTACAATGTCAGTGAAGTGCATTTGATGTTTTTTATGAATTCAGGTAAATTGCTTATAAAAGGGGGCCTTTAACGACTTTGTCAATATTTCAACATTTTAAAAGAAGTATAGAATGTTTCACTTGTTTGTAGAGAGTTTGATCAGATGCATCGTTTTCAGTTCCATATTTAGCTCCAGTCAGGAGATGCTCAGATCAGAAGAGCTTTTACATTTTAGGTTTGCCCTGAACGAAGCGAGATAATGAAAGAGCATGAGAGGCAATGAACACAGACTTTTTAAACATCTGGACAAAGGACTTCAAAAAGTATTTATTAGGTTGTTGGAGTTATCGCACACACATCACACAGAAAAACATAAATGTCACAATTCATGTCTTTATAACAAAAGAATCGGGACACAAACAGACAAAAGCTTGAATGAGGAATAAGCGTTACGGCAAAAAATGAAAATTATACCTATTTATATAGATGATTATTATGATAAATGTCTCATTATTTCTTTCAAGTTTAAAGTATAATCTGAGGTGGATCAAAATCTCCTCACATATATTGGACTTGTGTTATATTGCTATATAGCCCTGACTGTTAATTGACCAGAGAAGTGGATTTTATTCACATCGTAGTATTAAAACTTTATTCTCTCAATGTAAAATGAAACTCATCTACCTCCTCTCGTGGCTCTAGTTCTCCTCCTGCAGATGTTGTGACCTCACCTGTGTTTGGTTTTGTCTCCCATGTGTGAAACCTCGTGTGTTCGATGCCGTCACAAAGAGCCATTTGTGTGAAAAGTTGTCTGAGTCCCAGTGTGTGGCCTCTCAATAGCGTTGGTTCCTTTCGGTTCCTCCTTCTCTCGATCAAACCGGTATTTCTGTGTGAAATATGCTGAGGCGGAGACTCCACCCAGGCTGCTGGAGCAGATTCTCGTGCGGACCGGTTACTATCAGCTGTGTTGTCAGTGGCTCGGTGTCAAGCATGATGTCAAGCATTCTCTGTGAATGAAGGGCGCAGCGTGGGGGAGCGTTACCTTTCACATGGGCTCAGAATCAGCTCCCTCCCCCCTCCACCTCCTTTCCTCACCCCCTGCCATCTGTGATGAAAGTGCAAACTGATCCCTGACGGCAGTTTTGGAGCAGTTACCCAGCAGGACGTGGTGCATGAGACGGTTTGGTTCAGGTGTCAGTGGAGGTCATCGGTGCAGGTTCCTGCAGGAGGGAACTGCAGATGACTGACCTGTGTGTTACAGCGGTCAAACTCGGAGACATCCCCAAGTTACCGCTGTGATTTCTCAGTCATTCCTGCTGTAGTGGTTTATAAATTCACTTTTCAAACCCGCCCCTGTTCGCCAGTTTACTCTGTCTGGCAGTATAATGACTTGTAGAATAAATATTTTGAGGATTTAAAAAAATGCTGTTTGGACGTTTTTCCTCTCTGCTGCATGGTTTCCCTTCTATGGTTGTGACTCCTGTTTCTGCCCTCAGGCTGATGATGTAGTGTTATTACTCCTGGGCCCGTTCAGCAAGCTTAATGGAGATTCAGTCAGTTTATGTTTCCACCTTCTTAAATGTGAATTTCTTTGGCTTATATGAAACTGAACTCAAGACCAAACCATCGATCAAGTTATTGTTTGTGTGCAGAGATTTTTAGAAACATGTCCATGGTGCAGAGTGAAGTTAGAAAACTCTGCGTTCATCCTACCTGGTTTATCTGCACTGAAGGGTTAATAGTCAGTGTTTGGATTATGTACTGAACCTTATCATACATTGCATGTCGGCTATTTCAGAGTCTGTTAAGCAACTAATACAACCAGCAGATAATGAGCTGGTTCAGATGATAGGAGAGGACACAGTGTCGTTGTAGTCGTACATGTTCAATGCAATCAGCTGTGAACAGTAGCTTTAGTAATCGAGTTGAGATCCCTGAGAGCGACCAGATGACATCAGGCCTCATCCTCCAGACTCGTTTTTCCTCCAGCTCGACATCTCTCTCTGTAGATGGCGTGCACAGATTGTTATTTGTAATGGGTGTGACCAGCGAGAACCGCTTCCTTTTTTGCGTGCGTGTGTGAGTGAGTGTGTTTTCCTGAATGGGAGTGACCCAGTGGACGGAGGGGATGCAGAGAGCATGAGGCGTCCATGTGTCCTGGTTCAGTTAAATGATCTACCCATCTCTCCTGTGTTCGTCAGCGTGTGTGGGACCTGAGCCTCACATTTACATTTGTCTCATAATTCAAAAAAGCCTCAGATCCGTTTAACACATTTATTTATTGGAACATTTTTACAAGTTCCAGAAGCGCAAACAAGGCATTTTGTTTGTGTCAGGCGTTGCTCTTTGAGAGGTAGACTTTCCTCACTCCTCCAGAACTTGTGAAAACCCCCAAATATTTTTATTTGTAGTGGGGGGAAAAGCCAAGCTTTGGTGTGGGGCCAACCCTTCACTTAACAACTCCCCCATTGCCCGAGTTTGGCGAGGAACCCACTGAATTTCACTGCTGTGTGGGGGATTTCTACTTGTTTTGTTAAATGCCTGCCATGTTGCGCGGGTTATCAAGTTGCCCAGCGGCTGTAATTTGGAAAAGATTGCTCGTTTTCCCTCAGCGTGGTCGACCGAGTTGACATTTACTTTGTTTGACTTGAGGTTGAACTGTGTGTCCTGTTCCAGAGAGCCTCCCTGTCTCTAAATAGAGCCCCGCAGATGCCCGGTCTTTCTGCAGAGATGTTTGGTGGGATAAAAGTTCAAGGCAAATTCCTGCAGGGTCTTGGGAATGTTGCCTGAATTGACCCGTCAGCAGATAAGACTTCAGGGCCTCAGCCCACTGCACTCACGTGTGTTTATGTGGGAGAAATCATCTGATATGTGATTAAAAATGACTCATGGCAGAAAAATACAATGGTTTACAGATGGGAAGAGAATTACAGTATCAAAATACAGGTTTAAACTTTCTCTATAAAACTCTCTGTCTATAAATTTACATTTAATTGAAGCTGTCGTGGATGAAACAAGTCGTGCGTACTGTTTGGTGGAGTTCCCCTACGAGTAACAGGAAGTAAATTCCCTGGTAGTATCCACTTTAACCTGTCCAAATAAAGGTAGAATAAATACAGGGAGACAGAACAGTTTGGAGTCAAGCTTCTCTGCGTAGTGTCCTGTAAGTTTACAGTATGTGTGCCAGCCAGCCACAGTTCCACTGCTGCTAAATGTTTTTACAAGGCAGCGTGGTTTTGTCTGTCCTTCAGGAATCCAGGACAAAACATTCCTGCTGAACTGCTGCGTGTTTCCCAAATGATTATGGAGGGATTTTTCACATTCTTCTCCCGAATGGCACAGCACCACAGACGTGGGCTGTGTCTGTGCAGGTGGAGGAAAATAGGTCGAGAGCAACACGACAGGGTTTGAGCTTCACAGGGATTGGTTGTTTGTTTTAATCTCAGGTGCTCGTGTCACACAGAGGAACACAAACATGAGCAATATCTGAAACTCAGCTTGAACTAGAGTGTTGCATATCTGCCGAGGCCCAACTGTCCCTGATATTCGTGTGAGCTCGTAGATGTCAGAAAAACAGGTGGCTGTGGCTGAGGGGGGTAGAGCGGTCGTCCTCGTCGGCGGTTCACTCCCGGTCTTCCCTATTCCGCATGCCGATGTGTCCTTGGGCAAGACACTGAACCCAAACGTTGCCCCTTCCTCATGAGAAAAGTGCTGATACACTGTAAAGCCCTTTGAGGGATATCAAGCCTAGAAAATCACGGTTTTGTTTCCAGCACATCACAGCATCGGCCCTTGTCCTCAAAAACTCTCTGGACATCTTCGTCGGTGTCGTCTACTTGTACGTCACCTCTTCTCCATCCTGACATGTTTGTGTTCTTCTTGTCTTATTAATTTTTTTAATTTAAACTCTGGGTTTATTAAAACAGCTTAAGTTTTGTGTAAGAAACTACTCAAATGTGTCAAACACCATCTGGTTCAACCGGTCAAATCTCTTTTCAGAACGTTACCCTCCTTGTGTTTTTCAAGTCGGCTTGAGATAATAATTTTCAGGACTTACAACTGCAGAAAATCTCATCTCCGTAAGTGAATAACTAAGTATTGCTAACTAATATTGTGGTAGAATCCAGAACGCTGCCACTTGTCTGAACTGCTCCAAGTGTTTTGGCCTTTGAACCCACCAGTGTGGACTTAAAAAGGACTTTGAACAGGAAGCCTCCAATAATATGAGGCCGGCCAGAGAAGCAGGAAAGCTGGCATCTCCCCTGCCTGGGCTGCTCACATTTCATTGTTTCCTGCAGCTTCTCTTCCAAACCGAGCTGGGAATCTTTCGTGCACCAGACGGGATATAAACATTTTGAGATTCAAGAGGTAGCACTTTAGACACGCGCTCTCCGAGCCGACGCTGTCACTCTTATCTCTGGTGTATCCTGGACACGACCATA